GTTCCTCCCCAACCTCCTCACTGTCCGAATCTGCCGCCAGTTCCGCTGAGCGCTGGCCACAGCACCACTTAGAGAGGGGATGGAAAGCACTGTGAAGCGGTATATAAGTCTAACTGCTATTGCTATTGCTATCTGGTTGGGTGGTGAAATGATGCATTGATGATGTTACCTGATCAACCTGAACAACCAAACCCAGGGAGCACCAAAGTTCCTACAGTCCGTTGTGGCCCACCAACAGCCTGCAGAGCTGGCAGCAGATTCGGACAGTGAGGAGGTTGGGGAGGAACATGGGCCAGTCCTGGAGTCTGGGGAAGGCTCTGATGAGGGCTCTGTGTCGGAGGCAGAGAGGGGGCCAGAGCCGTATGCCAGTTATCAGCTGCCTTCAGACATCAGTGAGGCAGATGAACAGCTGGAGCCTGTTCCCAGTGTGCGCATGTGCAAAGTGGCCGTGCAAAGGGAACAGCTAAAGAACGGGTCGACTTGGGAATAAGGCCACAGGTGGACGGTGAATGGCCCCTCCCAGAGGGAATAAAAGAGGAGCGAAAGGGGAGGGGAGTTTACAGGAGACAATTAGTTCATTCCTGCATTCTTGCCAAGTATTGCAGCGTCTGAAAGATCTCGGCCTGGCCACTCCCTAAGCCTGATAAAGGTGGGTAATTGTGAGCTATCTTGAAAGACTGTTGGAGAGGAAAGACTTTGCTGGAGAGGAATTCACTGCAAATTAAATAAAAGGGACGAGGACTCAGCTTCGTGCTGCTGAGGAAGCCTAGGTCAGAACAGATATAGATAGTGGTATCCTTTGGAGTTGCCTGCAAGGGTCAGGGGGTTTGAGATCCTGGTTTGCAGAAGTTCTGCTCTTCCCTGGGCAGAAAATGTCTGCCTTGCATGCTTTTTTTTAAAAAAAAAAATTGGTCATGAAGTGAGTTAACCTGGGGAAAGGAGCATACAGTCCAGGGAAACCTGGTTTTAAGTGCAGACCCTGGCTTCAATGAAACCTCTCCCTGCTCCAGCTTGCAAACCACACGGGATACATCAAGATCGACTGGAAGATGGTTGAGCGAGACGTGAGCAAAGCTAAAAAGCACCTGAAGTTTTCTAGTAGCACCTCCAGCAAGCTGGCGCCAGAGGTGAAGAGCCAATTTGATGAGGTGAGTCTGAAAGCCAAACCTGTGAAAAGGTGGATTTTGGAGGGCTGGTCGCTGGGGTGCGAGTAAGGAAAACAATGATTTATGCAATAGGGACGGAGAGAGAAAGAATTAGGGGTTAGCAATCTGCAGTCCTCCCAGGACTGTGCTTTCCTTCCTAGCTAAGTCACAGTTGCTGTCAGGGTTTCCATGAATGCCCTAATTAATCCATTAGGCTAACAAGTCCATCCGTCTGGAAGATGAATAGTTGTCTGCCACATCTATTCCTCTCCGCCCCCTGCCTTTTATCCCCAGAGCTAAGATGTAGCTTCGCTAGCAGCGGTGGCTCTTCCATCCCAAGACTGGCCCATAGATTTCCTCTGCTCTCCTCTCCTCTGCTTTCTGTGCATCTGTGTCTCAGGCACTGGACCCAGCTGTTCCTCCTCTTCCTCATCAGCCACCTCCAAGGCTGTTGACTCTCCATCTGAGGGCTGAGGGATGGACCAGGCTCCGCCTCTGCCAGCTCCATTCCCTCTTCCCCCTCTCAGGTTGTCTTGATGCTGGCCCTGACTCCCATGCCTCCTCTTCTGATTCGGCTGCTGGAAGGGCCGGCATCCGACAGGCCACGACAGTCGTCCCAAGTGGCTTCCTTTACTCTGTGTGTCATTTTATCTCCCCGTTGATCCCAAAGGAATCCAGTTTTGTGAGGACTTTTAATAACCCCAGCAGCAGAAGTAGGGAGAGTCCAAGTGCAGCCCCTGTAAACTTTTTCCTTTCTCCCTCCAGGCGATCAATTTCCTGAAGAGGAACGTCCTGCTATCTGGAGGCTTCGTTGGCGGCTTCTTGCTCGGCATGGCCTCTTAGGAATCCCACCCAATCCGCCTTTCCACCGGCTGGTCTTGCAGCCCCCTCCCACTGCTTGGTCCCTCCGCCGCCTGATTAGCCTGCTGAAGCATTCAGCCTCCTGACTGGCCTCTCTTTTGATACCTGCAAAGTAGCATCCAGAAACACCACCGCTAGCCTTCCTCCCCACCCCTTCCTCCCCCTGTTTGTTCCTGCTTTTTAATTCGACGCAGGAGGGAAGTTGGACCGATCTTGAAGATGCTTTCGATCCCTGCCTAAGATGCCAAAATCTGCAGAACGCCCCCTTCCCTCCCACACATTTATTTTTATTTTTATTTCTTCCTTTACTGGCGTAAACTAGACAACTTCACTGTGGAAGGACTCATAGCCCCCTGCTTATGCGTCCGTCTTCTCATTAGTGTCAAGAGTCTCTCCTAGCAGACCAAGGAAGCAAGCAGATCAACGAGGACGGGACGGGAGCATGTCCTGGAATAACTGCCTCCAGAAATGGCTGCTTCCCCCTGGCTTCCTAACGCAGCTCGTCCCTAAGAGCAGCAGCTTCTTGGACTCAACTCATCCAAGATTTGGGTTGTTTTTTTTTAATTTATACTACAAGATGACTGGAATAATCTGTGGAAACCCTCTGGCTCTGCTGTGTGGAATTCTCTGTCTTCCTCTTTGTCCGACCGGAGGAAGCCTGGAAGACTCGGGTAGTGTGGCTGCCTCTCAAGGAAAATATCTTAAAACTGGGGTTTTATGTAGTGGAACGGCAGCAGGGTTAGAGCTTGGAGCTGTTAAAAGATAAATTCGAGTCTCGGTAGCAATTGCTAGCGAATCCCGGGAATGGAATTAATGTGGAGGGTCTCCACCGTCTGGTTCAGAACTCCTGGGCGGTGGGATGCAGGGGGTGGGGTGGGGTGGAAGCTGGGTAGGTCTGCTTATGCCCTGAGGTCTGCATAGGAGAATTAACTTTTAGCCCAGAGCAAAAGCAGCCAAATTCTGGGCTCCCAAGTTAGTTTCCCTTTATAGGAATTGCGATATTGAGCAGGGAGAGAGAGAGGCTTTAGGTCTGCTTTCTCCTGGAGTTCTTGCCATCTTATCTGTGGGATAGCGACAATAGCTCGTAGAACTGTCATTCTTCCCCCCCACCCCCCAGTTCCTATAAATGCATACGTTATGGAATAACAGCAGCTTTCTTCGCCTGGAACCTCTGTCATTGGTTTTTATAGGTAGAGCTCTGTGCCGTAAAAGCTTGCACCGTCCTATTTTCAGCAATAGCGATAGCATTTGCACTTATGCACCGCTCCGTAGTGCTTATAGCATTCTCTGGGTGGTTTACAAGGTAGAAATTGTATTTTGCACATTGCCCCCCAACAATTTGGTCCTCCTTTTACCAACCTCAGAAGGATGGAAGGCTGAGTCAACCTAGAGACCTATCAAACTCCAGACTGTGGGCAGAGTTTGCCTGCAATACTGCATTCTAACCAAATGGATGAAAAGGAAGAAAGGAAAGAAGGAAGGAAAGAAAGAAAGAAGGAAGGGCAATAGCACTTAGACTTCTATACCACTTCACAGTGCTTTACAGCCCACTCTAAGTGGTTTACAGAGTCAGCTTCTTGCCCTCAACAATCTGCGGCCTCATTTTAGCGATCTCGTAAGGATGGAAGGCCGAGTCAACTTAGAACGTTTACCTAGAACTAGAGCATCTGATGAGCAAAGTCAAGGGAGGGGGGGAAGGGGATTTGCTTAACTGCTCCATGTTTCACTTAATGACCATGGCCAAAGTTCTAAAATCGGGTGCCGCTCACTCAATAACCACACGACTTGGTGATAAAAAATTCCTGTCGTGGTCGTAACTTAAGGACTACTGTACCTGCAAAGCTTTTCCTTGTTGAGTAGAAACAGCCTCTGTCCCTGCGTTTTAGAATCAGTTGGTGAAAGAACTTAACTTTCTCTACAGTTCTGAGTTGAGAACTTATTTAGCGGCTGCTGTTGGGCTCCTCAAAACTAGAAATACAGCAAAACTGGAAGACAAGCCCCCGAGTTAGTTGGTTTTAGGCAGTGGTGGGATTCAGCCGTTTCACACCGATTCTGCAGAAACGGTACCTAATTTTTTGTTCAGTTCGGTGAACTGGTGGAGAGAGATGGGTCTCTTTTCAGCGCCTGGCGCCTAGATGTTCTCGCTTCCCCCAAGCATTTCTTTCCTAACCTAATTCCCATCCCTGTCACATTTCTCTCCATCATGTGCAGGAAAACAAAAGTTTGTGGGAGTAAAAAAAAATCAATCAATTCCAACTTATCACGAAGAAAAAAAAAGATCTTGTGAAGTTGAAATTGATTGATCTTTTTTTTAGTCCCACAAACACTTGCTTCTCTACACACGACAGTGAGAACCGTGATGGAGAAATGCGATGGAGCTGGAAATCAGGTTAGCAAATGCTTGGGGGAAGCGAGGGCATCTGAGCTGTGGTGACTGGGGCAAGCGGACCGGCTGTTAAATTATTTGAATCCCACCACTGGTTTTAGGTGATGATTCTGACCATGAACTTCCAAATCTGGGAAGCAAGAGCTGTTTGCTACCATATATTGAACTGAGCTGTTGATTCATCTTCACCAAGGATTGTCGTCTCCGACTGGCAGGGGCTTGTCATAGTCTTGATTAGCATTTTTTTAAACTTAAAAGGAATTGCCTTCCTGAATTCCCCACTCGGTATCCCTGGGGAGTCCATATGTCTTCTTAAAGTTGCCAAGTTTGCGAAACACTGGCCTTTTTGCAGTAGTTGGAGCAAAGATTTAAGGTTATACCTGTGGGACTATATGTATTGAAATTATGTCTCTTGTTGCTCCTGCTCCCCCAAGGAAATTGATGGTCGCTGTAGTCCTTGGCCAGTAGAATTCTGAGCTCTTGCAAGACAAGTTTCAACAGATTCTCAGAACTTTGGTGAATTTCACTGAGACCAAGAGGCCAGTTTTCAAGGTTATTATCTACCGGGAGATGCCTAAAATATTTGCCATGCTAGGGAATCCTTGAAACACAAGAGGGAGTTTGAATAAGCCGACTGAGCTAGTGGGAAACAGAAGAGAATATAATATCAGCCTTTGGGGGGAGGGAGATAAAGAATGGAGGCAGGGCAAAAAAAAAATCTTTTAAAAGCATTTAAGTAGAAGGCATTCAACTGACAGCTCTTTTATGCAGCACTTTGGATTCAGTCATATGTTTAAATGTTTTTAAATATCTTTTTTCCCTGCAGGAGCATGAATAGACCTCGACTTGTCTATAGCATTTTAAAACAGATGTGTCTGTCTTCTAGAATCACAAAACTATTACTGTGCAATGCAGACGCAGATGCTTGGTGTTGCAATCAGACACTGTGTGTATATATATGTGTGTGTATAGAGTATATACATAGAGAGAGAGACATTTGGAGATTGAGGTTAAAACATAGAAACTGGGTCAATTTTGATCTACCTGGGTGGGGCAAGAGTTGCAAAACTGAATTCAAATCAGCCCTCTGTGTCAGACTTGGGAGGAATCTCTGGTTCTAAGTTTTTATACAATATTCAAATATTTTGAAGTGAGAATTAAATGGTTTTGGGGAGTCTCTCATTTATTCAACCTGTATGCCATCAGATCTCTTGGAAAAGGGAAACTCTTGTAAGTTGTGGGGTTCGTATATTTTTTTGAATTCAGCCTAGAAGAATTAAAAGGAAAAGTTGAAAAGGCTTACGATTGTAGTTATTCGGCATAATTTTGTCTCGTGCGGCCGTTGGTGTTTGCTGAACAGAGGGCAACCTGATGCTTTGCTAATTAGTTTATATGATTAGTTCACAATCAAAGATTCTTGGGATTTCTGCCTTCCAAGAAACTAGGAAGCATCAGATTGTCAGAGTTGTTGTATGTCCTACTAAACAGTGGCTCTATTTCAGATGCCTATCAATACGGGCATTTTTATTAATTCCAGACTGTATAGTATTCTACCACAAATCACACTTTTCCCGAGCTTGGAAAATTCCAGTCAACAGATCTATCCAGCTCTTTATTATCAATATATGGCCTTGAACTGTAACTCACATGATGCTGGCTATGCTAGTTAAGGCACATGCCTATCTCTGGCTTATACTGAGTTGACAACAGGAATACAGGATTCCATTCTAGAGCATTTTTGATTTTACTTGGAAAAGCTAAATAAGCTCAGAGCCTCCTATCTACCGTGTTTCCCCGAAAATACGACCTGCCCAATACAAGTCCTATCCCCAAAATAAGCCCTAATTAAGACCCCACCCACTCCATGGTGCACAGCTAAAAATTAAGCTAGGATGGGTATGGTGTGGTAGTGGAGCTGCCCTACTACTTACCTTTGGATAGTTGCAACCACGCCTCACACACCTTGGCCCATTTCCGCAAGGCTTTCCTGAAGGCCTCCGTAGCTGATAACAGAGCTTCAGATCAATCCAGATGATGAAGTTCCTGAAGGCCTCTGATAGCGAAAAAGAGGCCCGGGGGTGATGCACACAAGTTAGGGGAGTCAGTGGATGACACCCCCCCTAAAAATAAGACCTGGTGCTTTTTTTGCTGGCAAGTGTCTTATTTTGGGGAAAACACGGTAGAAACCAGGCATCGTCCTGCTGAGCTATACAGCCCCTCTCTGCAAACTCTCAACCATCCGTGACAACCTGGAACACTTTACTGAAAGTAAGTTGCAGACATGAAATATATATATAGAATCCTCCTATATATATTGGAGGATTCTGTTGTTTGACTTCGACTGTTGAATGTTTGCTCACGACAGTCATCGGATTTGAATAAGGGATTCTCTTGTCAACTATCCAGACTTTCAACAATCATGCATTTCTCAGTGGCTTAAGATTTTACTGCAAGATGGGAAAGTTACTTTGTCTGGTTTTCAGCATAATTCGGTCCAAGAAAGGCAATTCAAAAATAAAAGTTTTATTCCTTTTGGGCTTTTAAGTATCAAGATGACATGATCATATCCTTGTATGGATTGAGTATTTATTGAACTGCAACAGGGTCAGAATCTCATTCCACCAGCTTTGCTAAAAGCCTGCTTATGGTATACACAACATTGCAGTTATTTTGCGATGGTTTCGACACTGAGGAGGCACGAGATACAGAACAGCGAGAGTTATCAAGGGTGCTCAAAATCCCTTGAGAAATATTTGATTCGGTCTAAATTTGGGGAGGGGGGGTGAAGAGGAAAGGGGTGCTACACTTAACATTCTTTTTTCCCCGTCGTAGAAATGGGATTTCATCCGCATAAAATAGCAAAATGTTGAATTTCAAAAATAATACTTTCAACTCTTTCCACAAAAGTGCCTATTGCTTTACAAATAGGGAGAGGAGGCCACACAGCACACACAACGTAACTATCCCTGAAATCGGCTGCTTCTACTACAGCGTGACATAAAACCAATATTGTGCAATTGGGTTTGGACCTCTTCCGAATCGAAAGCCCAGAGAACCGGGTGGCTTCGTCTCAACATTGCCGGCGGGCACCTCGGGGAAAACCTACCGCTGAGCTAAAAAGCTGGCGCTCTGGGCTTTATTCGCCAGCGGAAAAGGACAACTTTCAAACAGGGCGGGGAACGACGACTTCGCGAGGGTAAAGTCTTTGCGTTTCAACGAAGGACTTAAGCTTACACGTACCAGACGTAAACGAGATATGTCTGAAATTTGACACCCAGCAAAAAAAAAAAAAAAAACAGGCTGGATTTCACCTTCCAGTGGAATATTGCTCTTCTGGACAACAGAACAAAGGAAACGGACTATTCACAAATCAAGGCATTCTACTCCAAACTACTTTACAATAAGGCTACAGCAGTAACATCGTTTTGACAACAAAAGTGCTAGGGGCTCTACCCTTCGACCGACGAGAGGATGTTGTTGTGTTCGGGTCTTTCGTCAGGGTCTGGAGAAAGAGGAGCCAGCTTGCGTCGTGGGGGTAGCCCTCCCATGCAAGAGAACAGATTTGAGGTATAGCGCGGTAGCTACGTCGACGGCAGGTAAGGCTGCTCAGCCCTCCCAGAGAACGGGCTTCCCTCAGGGCTTCGGAAGTGGGGATTGATTGGAATCTGGTACCTGCTTCTCTTTTCCCTCCCCTTGAAAGCCTGAACAAGAGAGGGATACGCCCTTAGGATACCGGGCACAACACCGTCTCATCTCCTGGAAAACCGCTTCACATTTCGATTCCAAGTAGTGATTTGCTGCAATGGAAGAAGAAAGACCAAGGGTGAAAGAATGGAAGCTGGGCAGAATCCCCTTCAAAATAGGCCGATAACCAGAAACGAACACATTCCACTCAATTTCCAAAAGATAGAATAGAATAGAATAGAATAGAATAAGAAGGAAAAAGGAAGGAAGAGGAGAGGAAGAGAAAGAAGAAGAAGAAGAGCAGGAGAAGGAGGTGAATAGTTGGAAGGGACCTTCTGGTCTCCAGAAGATGTAATCAAATCGCAATTTTTCGACAAAGCAAGAAAACAAAAAAGTTCATGGCTACAGCAACTGCATTTAATTTTAATTATATTCAAATTTAATGTAAGTGAGATCAAAATACTTGGTTAGCTCAAATTTTACTGATATCAACAGTGTTATATCAGGGAGACCTTGGGCAGAGGGTGGGAATAGAAGACCTCTAAGGTCCCTTCTAGCCCTACAATTCTCCAACTATGTCTGGAAGGAAGATTTTAATTAAAGGCTACAATTTAAGCTGGCGCTTTTTAAGAATTGCTCGCAGAGCGCAATAAATTGACACAAATATAGACTAGTTCAGATACCTGTAGCATTTTGTTGTTCTGAAGAGCTTCAACATTATTAAAATACAGCTGGTTGTAAAGGAAAGAAACTCAAAGTAGAAAAAGCATGGCAAAAACTACTTTGTCCACCAATTTAGGATAAACATGAATAGCTAAACCGGGAAGGAAATCTCGTTTATTCCAGAAAGAAGTAACATTCAGGTCCACCATCTCAGCAAGCATTAAAAGCTGCACATGGAATGCTGGGAAGTCATAGACAGGCTATGGATACAAATAGGATTTAAATCAGTGGTGAAACATAATTCTACCCCCCCCCCTTTTTAACTGGTTCTATGGGCGTGGCTTGGTGGTGGTGTAGGAGGGTCATGTGACTGGGTGGGTGTGGGCAACTTTTTTTTCACTTTCAGCTATTTTTTTTAGCTTTTTAAAGCGTTTTTTCCTGCCGCTTCGCCCGAACCAGCAGGGGAAAAATGCTTTACAAAGCTAAAAAAAAAAAAAGCTTCCGACAATCGCGTGGCTCAACTGTGAACGATGCGACCCTTGGAAGCTTTTTTAACTACTGGTTCACAGAACGAAGGACAATCGTTCCTATGGATTCAGAGGATTCCCCTGATTTAAATCATTTTCTGCTAAGAAGTGTGAATTTTAAAATGAGGCTTTTCGGTCCCCCGCTTGGTTACAATTAAACTATGCTTTCTAAAAAAAAAATGAAGAGCAAGGAAAGGGCATCTATTTACTTAGCAATAATTCAAACACTACAAAATTAAGAGAAGCTGCTTACCTTGCAAACATTTCTGGATTTCACAGGCGTGTTTCTTACAGGGGTCTTTTGCGGCCATAACCAAGGAACTAGAAAAAAAAATAACAGAAAGGAAAACATTATCCTGGCAAAATACAGGGCCAGAGTTCCTAAGGTCCTATCCAAAAGGAACTCCATCTCCCCTGCCACCCATCACCGATCCGGAATCTGTTCTTAGAGGATCCAGCCAGTCAAGGATTTTCTGAACCTTCCTTTAGAGTCCATTTTCTTGCTCATGAAAAGGGTCAGCTGTCAATCTCCCACATGCCACTTGAGAGACAACATTGGATGGAGAAAGTTCGAGAAGGACTACAATGTGCTAACCAGGTTTGCTTTTTAAACCCAGCTTGCCAAAATAAAATCTGATGGATTCATGCAACAAAACCAAAAATCACCATTACAGGAAACAGCTTTGTATCATAGATTAAGCCATAACCAAAACCTCTTTAGCTTAGTGTGATAAATAAACCCAGCCAGAGAGAGATGGGTCCCTCCTTGAGTAGCTTCTGAGCTTTATCAACTGATAAGTTGTTAGGCTCCTGTCCTAAATATTAGAATGACACTTAGAAAGACACATTGGCACCGCCTTCCCTTACTACAAACACCGTTAAACCAACTTGTCGGATAATTAACACACTCAAAGGATGAAAACTAAAGTACTTAAAGGAGGGCATGCGTTGAAGAAATGATGTTGACTGAATGGAAGTTGAATGAAAGTAGTCCCTTGTGGAAGGAAAGGAAAAGAAAGGGAAGGGAAGGAATGGAAGGAAAGACGGAGTGGAAGGAAGGAATGGAAAGATGAAAGAAAGGAATGGAAGGAAGGAGTGGGAGGGAGGGGGGAAGGCCCCCAAAATGCTGCATTTTGGAAACTAGATTCTCCCCTCTGAGTCACTGGTCTTGTAAAAACATGTAGGGAACAGTGTTAAGTCCGGGTGATGCTGCCAGAAATTAACAAGATGAAAAACCAAACACACAACATCCTCGGTCGGTAAAAAGAGCACAGTATTTTTCAAGGCGCTTCGTTCAAAGAAGCTGCGACCTACTTTACTGGATCAAGAAGCCAATGAGGTTCATGGGGTCCATCATTCCATTTTAACCTTTCCCCCTCCCCGCCCCCAAGAAGCTCTGGCAAGCAGGAGGGCGAAGGTCATCATCGCCATGGCTTGTCCCTCCGCTCTTTAAATCATGGTAACCTGACCACCTTTCTCGGCAGGGGGAGGGGCAGGTCCGGTCCGCCTACCTAAAACTGCCCCTCCGCTTTCAACTGGCCATGGCACTCTCCTTGACTGCCTGTCCTAAGCTCTTGGGCGATGCTGCTGTGGGCGGTGAAGAGAGTGGCACACCGTGCTCTGCCTCGCGGGCAGCGGCATTTTGAGTGCTAGGAGTTAACACATTAAAAAAACACAACAGGACGACTGTCCTAGTGTTTGCAGCTCCTGAAAGACAAAAAAACGGCATGGAAGAACCACCGTCAGTCAAAGAAAGCGGAAACTCAACATAGGGACGCAAGGAAGGTTCGGGAGGGAGACGAGGAGGAGGAGAAGAACCTCACCGGGTTTAATTGCTGGTCAGGAGTTGCAACAACAGCTCTTCCACTCCCATGACCTGCAAGGACCCAAAGAGTCCAGGTGAGTTTATTGTAAGAGCCCAGCTGACGGACGATCGTCGGGACATGCATTTCCACCAACTCTCCACTGAGCCAGGTTGGCTTCACCTACCGTTAAGTGGTGTTCGATGCCCCAGATGCGAGAGTTACTGTCTCGGTACTGCGGCCCCTCCGAGAGCTGCCACATGTGGGGCAGCTGAGAAGCAGGAAGGCGGCTGGGGCGAACGGCTTCGCCCAGGGGCACAGGGATTCTTCTGATCCGGGCTTTTAGCGTCCCTCCTTCCTAGAGGAGGGAGAAGCCCAAAAAGAGAGTCACGGCAAGCTCAAGGCCAAAACAGGCCTAATCGACCCCAGGCAGGGAAGCAAGAGAGACCAGGGAGCTTACCTCTTCTGGGGCCACCAGCCATGTTGCTTGGTTCTCATCGCAGTAGACGCCCATCCGCCGTACCCAGAGGCGGACGGGTGGGACTTGGGCATCGTCGCCACCTTCCTCACCTTCTGCCATGCCCTGCTACTTGCCTAGGAAGGCCCACCCTCGGTTCCCATGTCTACACGTCCAACTTTACCTTTACTTTACGCAATGGTTAGTCTTGCAAAGAAGTGGAGCCGGGAGGGAGGGAGGGAGGGAGGGCCAGGTGGCATGCAGCGTCCTAGCACTGTGAAGAGCATGTTAAAAAAAAAAGAGTTTCAGAAATGTGCGCCGGTCACTGGAGATCAAATGGATTCTATTGGAAAGGTCTTTCAAATAGACAAAAGTGTGGTCGTCAGTTATGAGATGATCTACCAGTGGCCTTCATCAATAGTCAGGACTAAGTTAATGTTTCTCAACCACGGTAGCTTTAGGAGGCGTGGACTTCAAATCCCAGAATTCTCCAGCCAGCTGGGAGCTAAAGTCCACACGCCCACAAGCTGCTGAGGGTGAAGAACACAAATCCAAGAGAATCTACAGACTGGATATGGCCTTAAAAGCGCTTGAGAGTTCGCCTTTCCATTATTTAGAATAGCAGAGTTGGAAGGGACCTTGGAGGTCTTCTAGTCCAACCCCCTGCTTAGGCAGGAAACCCTACATCACTTCAGACAAATGGTTACCCAACCTCTTCTTAAAAACCTCCAGTGTTTTTTTTCTCTCTTTCAATTCAATGTCTCCACAACCATGTTAGACCATTTTGGGAGGAGAAAACAAAAGAAAACTACAAAAATCTTAAGAATAGGTTCAACTGATGATTTGCGGGCACCATACTTTCTTCTGCTGTTACTTTAAACACCTTAAGTGCTGAGTAAAATAGATATATGGAATAGTAGGAAGGGCAAAAATCTCTCTCAAATGGAGCATCATTTTCCTTCGTTGGGGGTAAAACCGAATTGCTGAAGAGTTGGAAAAGCATAGCAAATTGGAAGTGGAAATTATTTAGTATCCCAATTGCATTAGCTGCAAGAGTGCCCCATAGATCTTCCAGTATAAAGACAAACAAATTTAGCTCTTCTTTTTGGCAAATTAAAAAAAGAAAGATGCAAAAAAGCATATGCACTTTAAGTGAAATATTTTGTAGCATTCTGCTGTCATATCCAGGACAGATCAAGAAACAAAAAATTGAAACCAAGGGGGTGACAGTGTTGGGAAAGACACATATATATTTCTAGTATTCATTTTTTAAAAACAATTTTTTTAACACACGTTGGATAGAGAGTGGCTGAAGAATGAGGGTGTTCTAAACTGCCAGGCATAAGAAACACCCATCTTAAAACACTTTTGTATAGCAACAGAAAAGAAAACTTGCAGTTAACCTCTTTGGTGGCCAACTTTTGAAAGAACATTTTGCATTTGATCACTGGGAAGGAATACAGAGTAAGCCAAGGAAGGTTCTAGGCCAGTGTTTCTCAACCTTGGCAACTTGAAGATGTCCGGACTTCAATTCTCAGAATTCCCCAGCCAGCGAATGCTGGCTGGGGAATTCTGGGAGTTGAAGTCCGGACATCTTCAAGTTGCCAAGGTTGAGAAACACTGGCCTAGGCTCTGGGCTTGAGAATTCCACCACAACCTCTTGGGCTCAAATGACTAAATATGCCAAATGCATCAAGAGCTCTTCAAATGACACAATTAAGGACCAAACCCACAGAATGCAAGAAACTTTCCCCAAGAAACGGGTACTCCATATAAGAACCGCATCCCCTTCTCTCACAGACGCACATACACACCCTGGTGCAGCAAAGCTGGGCTGCACAACCAACAGCTTGCCGCAAATACAAAAAGCCAACAGAATTTTTTTAAAAAATGCTCCTGCTTGTAGTTTGGCATCACCCTAACGACAAAGGGCGGCTCTCACCAGGGAGCTATTTTTGAGGGTGACTCAGAGGGGAGAAATGTTGGCCTATATTTGGTTTGAAGAAATAACACTTTCCCAAGCTGCACCGGAGTCCTTTCAAAGGGTCTCCTAATCCACACAGTAAGAATCGGAGCATTATACATTTATCGCTGCCACATCCGGCTCACATTCTGTTAATACCATTAATTCTGATGTCGGCAATTTGCTCAGAAAACACAGAACATTCGCTGAAGTCTGTTTAGACTCCGTTTGTGCAGAGCAGTAAGAAAACATAACAAGAGGGGTAGCTGGTGATGAATTATTATTATTATTTTTTGTAATGCCACCTCCAGATCTGGAGAAAAGCAGCTCATTTCACTGCCCCCACCCCTCGGTTTCCTTCTTAAGTGCTGAATCTGACTTGTTATGGAACACGAGACCGAAAAGGCTCAGCGTAGAGATGGTGGCAGGACTGAACCAAAAGACAGATCTGTCATAAGCAGCATTAAGCCACGCATCATGGCTGCAACACGCTTAACCCAAAGTCTGAAAAGCTTAGCGAGCCTCTTGTGAGCGTGATTGGTCTGTTTCCAGGCAGTTGTTCTGAAGTTCAGTTTTAGAAGGCCAAGATTCCTGCAGCCTCCTAAACATTGATCTGGTGCATGTGTGCATGTGTATCCTCCCAATTTCCTTGAATGTGGGAGAAGGAAAAAGATCGCTTTCTGCATACGACGTACGGAGGCAAACCTACAATTCCATTCGGATTTTGGAAGCCTAGAGGAAATGGGAGGCCCTACATTCCCACATTTTAATAGAAACCTTGCAGCCAAAATCTTTCCCATCTACGTATCTCCATCCTAAGGTGCTGCGACTATACCTGCTGGGGTTGATTTCCTGTTGATCACATTCCAATAAAGAGACAAGGGGAAGGCAGAATTGGCTGGTCCAATCTGCAGACGGCAGCGTTCAGATAACACCTTGACAATGGGCTAGTTCAAGGCCCAACAACTATATACTATATGTTGGCTAGTGTTGACCATAGTTGGATTTCTTTCATGTGTGACTTAGCATTCTGTCCAAACCCAGATACTTGGATTAGTTTCCAGTTGAACATGCCACAAACCTGGAAAGCAGGTTTGTCTACTAAATTGGGAGTGTCATGTGAACCCATCTATGGAGGGTGGTGGTGGTGGTATCCTGGCTTAGGTTACCCTCACCTCTTTCTCCAGGTCCTGGCTCCCTGCCCCAGAGTAGAATCACTAGCTCCCCCCTCTCCTCATATAAAAAAGAAGCCCCTACAGGTAGTCCTCGACTTACGACCGCAACTGAGCCCAAACTTTGTTGCTAAGTGAATTTTATCCCATTTTACGACCTTTCTCCCCCGTGGTGGTTAAGTGAATCAGCACCGCACTTAGTTCCAAACACCGTTGTTCAGACGAATCTGGTTTCCCCCATTGACGTTTGCTCGTCAGCAGGTCGCAAAGAGGGGCATCGTGTGGGGACACTGCCACCGTCATAAATATGAGCCACACGTTCAAATTTCGATCAGTGGGTGGGTGGAAATGCTGCAACGGTCGTTAAGCGGGAGGAACGGTCATGAGTCGCTTTCTAACTCAGAACGGTCACTAAACGGACAGTTGTAAGTCGAGGAGTGCCTGGATTAGAGCAGTGTTTCTCAACCTTGGCAACTTGAAGATATCTGGACTTCAACTCCCAGAATTCCCCAGCCAGCGAATGCTGGCTGGGGAATTCTGAGAGTTGAAGTCCAGACATCTTCAAGTTGCCAAGGTTGAGAAACACTGCTCTAATCCAGGCACTCCTCGACTTACAACTGTCCGTTTAGTGACCGTTCTGAGTTAGAAAGCGACTCATGACCGTTCCTCCCGCTTANAAAAACAATTATAGTCAAATGAAGGTTGAGGTATGATGATAGTAATATATATAAATATACTTGATTTAAAATATATGATATGAATTGTAGGTGATGGACTGTTTTTGTAACCAATCTACACACTTTCTACAATTTGTAATGGAAGATGGTTCTGTGGTTTTTTTTTGTGTGTGTTTTGTCTATTTGGTATTTATTCAAAAAATTAAAAAAACAAGCAACTGGGGGGGGGGGGGAAACCAGCCAGGTGTATTTCAGAAGCAAGGATAACACGACTTTCTTCCCCTCCAGAGGCACTTTTCAAAAAGACCAGGAAAAGCTTGATTCCTTCGGTGGCGTTGCCAAACGAGGAAGAAATCTGCTCCACCAAGACAGTATGTATTGCCTGAACAGAATGACGGTTGAATCGTTGAATGCTTCTTCAGTTGCGGTGCGTTTCCCCATTCACACAACAAACCCTCCCAGTTCTTTTCTCCTCTCCCAACAGTGGCTGGGGAAATGGAGCCTGAAAAAGCTGAAGTTAGATTTGCCCACTGTCGTTTTTGGGCCCGGCAGCATCCATCGGAAGGAGAGGGTGGAATCGTTGCACAAGAAAGTTTCGGCGAAATATTGCGACATTTTCCCAAGTGTAGAAATGCAAGTAAGTCCCTCTCCCTCCTTTGGTGCTTTTGGAGGGAGCTTGACCTGTGTCTTTGGTAATCCTGATTGTGCGCGGTGGTGTTTCCCAGCCTTGGCCCCTTGAAGATGTGCGGACTTCAACTCCCAGAATTCCCTAGCCAAGACTGCGATATGAGTAATCATAGCAATATTTCTGCAACCTGTACTCAGCTGTCGATGTTCATTCTTGTTTTTGGTTTTTTGGTTTGCTGTTGTTATTATTTCTAGGTTGCCTTTAAGGGTCATGGTTTTTCCAAAACTGGCAGGCAGGCAGGCAGACAGACAGACAGACAGATAGATAGGGGTGAGATAATATATATAGAGAAAGACAGACAGGCAGAGACAGACAGACAGAAGACTACAGATGGATGGATAGCTAGACAGATAAGTTGGATAAATGGATAGGATAGATGGATGGATGGATAGATGGATGGATGGATGGATGGATGGACGGACAGAAGACTGACAGATGGGTGGATAGATAGATAAGTGAAATAGATGGATGGATGGGATGGGATGGGATAGGGTAGATAAAGACAGGTAGACAGACAGACTGAGAGAAGACTGACAGATGGGTGGATAGATAGATAAGTGAAATAGATGGATGGATGGGATGGGATGGGATAGGG